TTGGTTGCTCTTGTGATGATGAAATATGAAAAGATATTTGTTGATAGATATATTTATAGTGGACTGTAAGTTTCTATAGTTAAATATGAAATAAGAACAATTAAATACCACGATATGCACAAACTCCAATCGATGTTCCTTACCTGTGGTGAATCGCCGTGAAAGATTCTGGAGAGGGCGCCCTCGTAATGCCACTAAGGCACTGGTTTGTTCACTCGCGTCCAACTGTAGCTTTCTTAATTTCACCGACCGTGTCTTCAATTCAAAGACAATAAAATTGGCACGACGAATGTTCTTGCACCGGTGTCTTGGACGTATACGATTTCCTGTTTCAAAGGGATCGGTGCTCGCATCGCCGACAGGGCGACAAAAAATAAGGAATTTATTCAAATCTGTGCATATTTTGAATAGTAAATTGTTTGGCGACGGTGCCAGAAATGTCAAATTATTACAGATATTCTTGCCTCATTTTTGTCCTTAAGATGAACTGATTTTTGTATTCAGTTAATCATTGTGAAATTAATAATTTAAGCGATTGTCATCAACGACACAATGTCGTACATAAACAATTCAAAATAATAGTGAATTGTAAATCCCATGTTTCCCAAACATTCTGTTTTTTGACCAAAATAAAAAAAATTAAAAAAATAAAACTAAAAAAAACAAAAAAATATATGCTGAGTAATAATGATAGGAAAATATACAACTAATTGCCGGGCAGTGGACAAATCTTGACCACCGGGCGCCGGAAAGTACCATGATTGGTTTTAAGGGTGACCACTCTGACCACATTATCCTTTCCAGGGTGTAAATCGATAACTCTACCTAATTCCCATTGAAGTGGAGTTTTTGGTTCACTTTTTATAAGGACTAGATCACCCTTAGACACCGTCGGTGAGGGATCAGTCCACTTGTGTCTCTCCTGTAAATGATGGAGATATTGTTGAGACCACTGTTTCCAGAAATCAGCTTGCAATCGCTGAATAAATTGCCAGCGAGATAGGCGATTCAGGGGCTCGTCAGCCAGATTAGCGTCAGGTATAGGGCTGTTTAAAGGTTCTAAAACCAGAAAATGTCCTGGTGTCAAGGGTTGTAAATCGTTCGGGTCGTTACTGACAGGGCATAACGGTCGTGAATTTAATACGGCCTCGATTTGCGCCAATAAAGTACCGAACTCCTCGTATGACAAAATTTGACTTCCCAAAACACGATATAGGTGGCTTTTGAAGGATTTTACGCCTGATTCAGCTAGTCCATTGAAATGGGGAGCACCCGGAGGGTGAAAATTCCACCGAAGTGATAGCGTTTGTGCCGCACCCTGAGCCAATTTGAGGAGATGGTTATAAGCACATTTGAAATTGGTGCCTTGGTCACTGGTAATACTGAGACAATTACCACGACGGGTAATGAACCGCCGAAAGGCCGCAAGAAACGTATCGGAGCTGAGATCGGAAGTTAATTCGAGGTGTATTGCCTTAGTCACCGTACAAACGAATATGCAAACATAACCCTTGAAGGTTTTTGCGCCACGGTGTTTGCTCATCACCAAAGAGAAAGGACCAGCGAAATCCACACATACCGAAGAGAACGCTTTGAGTTTGGATACTCTCAATGAAGGCAAATCCGCCATATAAGGGTTGTAAGACTTTGGTTTGCACCGAATGCAACGGAGATATTTAGATAAGCACCGATATATAGCACTTCTAGGAGATAAAATCCAAAACTGCTGAAGCAGCAAATATTGCATTGTTTTTAGACCAGGATGAAGATGATTAGAGTGGGTTGATTCGATTATGAGGTCCGTTAATCGGTGAGACTTGGGCAACAATAAGGGATGCTTAGCGTCATAACTTGAGTTGGAATTCCGCAGTCGACCACCCACCCTGAGCGTACCCTCAAAATCCACAAACAACGCAAGCTTCCTAAGGGGCTTGGGAAGAAGAATATTTTGATGGAGGTTTCGGAAAGTATCAGAAAAGATGTCTTGTTGAACTTGCCTAACTATAATTTTAAGTGAAGCTTGAAGTTCATCTGTAGATAGGTGTTGAAAAATCTTAGATTTTGACCTTACATTTGAAGTAAATCGAATCACATAGGCAACTATTCGTTTTATCTTTTGCAAAGACGAATATTTATCTAAGAGTGACAGGATAAAATTCCTTGGAACGACTGAAACATTTAAAACAGTTTTTTGTTCTTCGACAGAAACTTCACTACTAGGTGATACTAATGAATCTGGTTGTGTTGGCCAACTATCTCGCGAATGAGATAAAAAATCAGGGCCGGACCACCAAACGGGAGTGTTTATAAGTTCAGTGGGTGTTTGACCCCGACTTGCATAATCGGCTGGATTTTGACCAGATGGGACGTACTTCCAAGAAGAAATCGGCACACGTTCTTGTACATGGCTCACCCGGTTTGCAACAAAAGTTTTCCATTTGTGTGGGGACGCAGATAACCAGGCTAAGGTGACCATGGAGTCGGACCATGCATGAATCGCATCAAATAAAATCAGGTTAGAGTAGCTAGTTTTGACAGAAGAAATCAGATTAGACAATAAAACTCCGGCCAGAAGTTCCAAGCGAGGAATTGATTGAGTTTTCAAGGGTGAGACACGACACTTAGCACAAACTAGAAATGTTTTCACTAAGCCGGAAGTATCTTCGATACGAAAATACACAACACTAGCGTACCCTATTTGAGAGGCGTCGCAAAAGCCGTGCAATTCAATTCGCGAAATAGAACTGTGGAGCGGGACTCTGTGTCATGTAGAATTCTATCAGTCGACAAGATCCTACATGGTTGGCACTCTGTGCATCAAGAATATCGACAAAACGCGATTTATTTTATAATTTCATTTCTACATCTCGAGACGTGTCGAATACTACTGACGCATGTGCATGGTGAAGTTTCATGAATGACACTGACAATTGCGAAATTGTTGTTGTTGATATTTCATATTAATACCTACGTTATTCCATTCCTATTTAGCAGACGCCGGTTTCCGATTATATTAATAATATTGATATTATCGTCATTGAGAGAGTGAGAAGCGAAAAACCCGGAATAAAACACATATTATGGTTAAAATCTTTATAATAACATTTTAGAAAGTCAGTGCATAAAATGACGACAAATCAAATTATTTCTTGCTTGGACTCCTGCTTGCATAACGTTACATTATATGGTACCTCCGGTACCTGAATGTTATCCCTCCGGATATGAGGTTCGGGGACCATTCAGTCTCCCTTCCGAGCAATTATGTAAAATAGCACAAACCAAACGACAAAGCGCCTAACTTTTTCTGGGGCATGCCTCAATACTTTTGAAGTACACACAAATCTTTGTTCAAACACACCCATCCAATTTCGAGTTTGGATGTAATTTTGGCTATAATTTGGAGTTCCTGGAGCAATGTTTTCCCTATGTGTCATTAGCCAGGGTTCTTCGTCATGTGGTCTAATAATAATTTCACTCACTGTGGGTTCCATCGGCCATGTGATAGTAATCACACCTGGAAAATTGATTTTTTCCATAAATCCCGCTTCAATTAGATTTTTCTCGTCTTGAGTCACAGCAAACTGAACCCTGATGGCTACTGATACTTTCTCTTTTGCTCTGCTCTTGATATAGTTTGTAGCCACATAAATATTATAGCTTTGCCCGATTATTTCTTCAAATCTAACATCTTCTTTTTGAAAACAGTCACTGTTGTTGGTGGTTGGGCATCACTCATCACTGGATATTTCCCAGACAAATATGTTCAAGCTTCTCATCTTCTTCAACAATATTGTTATTTAAATTATTAATGGGCAACAAAGCCTAATTTTTAAACTTAAACTCAACTTTCAGGAAGCAAAAATAGTTATGGTATAAACAAGCAAACAAAATAATAACAAAAACAAACTTATTATGACGTATACAGTCAATTCAATAAATAATATTGACATTTCTTAGGAATCAAATAAAAATTCCCTAGAGTTTCCCCTAGATTTGTACTATGTTTTTCGAATGGCTAGTAGCATGATAAAAGGATACGAGAACGTAGCCGAACTGTTGTCGATAGTGACACAGAGTGCCGTTTCAGCCGACTATCGCTTTTGAAAATAGATATCTGCTATAGAAAGTGAGCTGTAGAATTCTATAGAGCACAGAGTCCCAGAGCTGGCTCCAATGTACCTAGGAATGCTAATATGGGCCAGATTAGGCATTTCAAATTTGAATTTACTCCAAATAGCAATAATTTCTTCTGATGGAGTTTCATCCCATGAAATTTGAGATTCCCATAAAAGTTGTAGCAGACGTTTTGCCAATAAAAGACAAGGAGATACAAATCCTAAGGGATCAAAAATCCTACTAATCTCGGACAGAATATGGCGCTTGGAACATGGGCGCTCTATTGGGACATAACTATAAGAAAAGTTATCAGATGTGGGATCCCATTTTAAACCTAATATTTTAATAAAAGAGGGTTCCTCTTTGTCGAAGGTACACGATTGTTGGGTTTCACAGGAAGGTAACTTAGCAAGAAGATCGGGGTGATTACTTGCCCATTTGCCCAGTTCGAATCCGCCTCTTTTAAAAATACTAATGAGGTCGTCTTGCAAGGATAACGCCGAGGGCAAATCATTACTGCCGACCAAGCCGTCATCAATGTAGAATCGGGTACGAACGCAGTCCGCGGCTTCTGGAAACGTCGCTTCCTCTTGCTTGGCAAGTTCTCGAAGGGTTCGTAAGGCTAAATATGGTGAAGAAGAAACTCCATATGTGACGGTTCTTAAAAAATATTCTTGAATAGGTTCAGAGGGTTTGAAGCGCCATAAAATTCGCTGATAATTCCAAAACTCTGGTTGAATGTTTATTTGTCTGTACATTTGTTTAATATCACAAATGAAGACATAAGCGAAAAATCAAAAGGAAAATAATAGGTGAAATTTGTAACGGGTTTTCTTTGGTGCTTGTCAGCTGTGGCAAGCACCAAAGAAAACCCGTTACAGAACATGAACATGAACATGAACATGAACATGGACATTAACATTAACCTGAACATTAACATCAACATTAACATTAACATTAACCTGAACATGAACATGAACATGAACATGAACATGAACATGAACATGAACATGAACATGAACATGAACATGAACATGAACATGAACATGAACATGAACATGAACATGAACATGAACATGAACATGAACATGAACATGGACATGGACATGGACATGAACATGAACATGAACATGAACATGAACATGAACATGAACATGAACATGAACATGAACATGAGCATGAACATGAACATGAACATGAATATGAACATGAACATGAACATGAACATGAACATGAACATGAACATGAACATGAACATGAACATGAACATGAACATGAACATGAACATGAACATGAACATGAACATGAACATGAACATGAACATGAACATGAACATGAACATGAACATGAACATGAACATGAACATGAACATGAACATGAACATGAACATGAACATGAACATGAACATGAACATGAACATGAACATGAACATGAACATGAACATGAACATGAACATGAACAGGAACAGGAACATGAACATGAACATGAACCTGAACCTGAACCTGAACCTGAACCTGAACCTGAACCTGAACCTGAACCTGAACCTGAACCTGAACCTGAACCTGAACCTGAACGTGAACGTGAACGTGAACGTGAACGTGAACGTGAACGTGAACGTGAACGTGAACGTGAACGTGAACGTGAACGTGAACGTGAACGTGAACGTGAACGTGAACATGAACGTGAACGTGAACGTGTGATTATTAGATATATCGATACTTTTTCGATATATCGAATGTAAAATATCGAATAAAATATATCGATATAGTTTATTATTCTTATTATTTTTCGGGTTTGGGTTAGTTATATTATAAAAATACTGTCAGAAAAAAATCAAGACATTCTTAAGGCCGCGTTAATGGCCGCCATGTTTAAATTTAGTTTTTGAAAAGGATGACTGCGCCACTCTACACATACGGTTCAATATTTTATTTTTTGTCCAAAACAAAATCTGTTTGTCAATAAAATACTTAATGAAAGAGAAAGACAAATATACAATTATGATGCTCCCAATGTCGCTTTTTTGCCGTAGCGCCATCTACTTGAAATTGCTTGAACTGTAACTGCCAAATTTTCACCAATTTTCATCTTCAAAATTCATTTTAAGGTCATCCCAAAAAATCCGCAATAACTTCCAAAATCCTTTGGCATAAACATTATTTGATATATTATCAACAATCTCTACAATTAGCTTTTTTTAATTTTTCGTGGCTATCAAAAAAATATGCTTTCCACAGATCCAAGCTTGATAAACATGCAAATATGCAACCACCAACACATTTAGTTGTTTTGGTGGTTGCGAACATGATTTTTGAATTAAAAAAAAGGCTGAATATCGAAAAACTAAAATAAGGAATTGTAGATAATCGATCAAATAATGTTAATGCCAAATTTGATCCAATTCTGATGTGCCGTTTTTTCAAAGAACTCAAAACAAGTTTCGAAAAATCCACCAACCAAAGCACTGCATTCTCATCGTTGTTGCGGCCTTAAAGAAAATTAAGATAAATACCCAAAGAACAGTTGAATCACAAATCACAGATTATATGTTATGGAACCTGAATCGGAAATTATGAATCATACTACTATTCGTATTAATAATAAGAAAAAAATTAAATGTGAAAAGCTCGGTAAAAAGGATATGTTGCTGGTTGAGTGTCTACTCTGCTATGCTTTTTGAGAGTCGCCAGCCTCTTTATATGATAATTCTTAAAACTAAAGGAAAAGTGAGAACGGTCAGCACAGAAGAGAGAATCTGTATAGGACAGACCTATATAGTGAAAAGACTGAAACGTCAATTTAAATTCAGTTCTGGGCGGATATAACGGGGATCAGCCGCCATATACAAGTTATCCGTAAAAAGGCTCGATCAAGAAGGGTTAGAAAAGAAATCGGTGTGCGGACGAACACAACAAGGATTGCAAGTTTCTCCAAGAATTTCTATATCTCAAAATTAATCTTTACCTTTGCCTAATTCAGAGGATATTTCTAATACCATTAGTTCCTTGTTTAGCAAAAAGGATTATGATGATAGACTTTATGTAAATATTAATGTTTACAACCTTTTATTGTTGGCTTCAGTCGATAGTGGCAGCTGTTCTTCAATTTTGCGAACAGATGGTTTTAATATCTTGAAATTTCTTAATTCATCTTTATCTACTGATTCTTCTTTCCTTGTTACAACGGCTGATGATCAGAAACAAAATGTGGGTTATGTGCGGGATCCTATAACTTTAAATGCAATAACTGGCCCTATTAAACTTTTAATTATACCTTCTCTCAAGCATGCTTTGATTCTGGGTATTGACTTTTCAAAAGAATTCAGTATTGAATAGGGAACTTGCAAGTGAACTAAAATTTTCCAAATTTGTTTCAAATCGATAGTTTATACTGCACTATATTTATATAACCAGTTTTTATTTAACTGATAAAAAAAAAATTGAACCTTGTTACACAAAAAGTGATACTAAATTTGAAATAAAAAATTTCCCGCCAAAACAATGCTTCCATGATGGCTCCTTTTTTTGACGTCACGATTCTGTAAACAAACCTGTCAATAGGGAATTTGCAAGTAATAGTATATTACAATCCGAGACGGAAAATACTTCATTGCTGGTCGAGAGGTTATTATAGTTTATCGAGACGCGAAGCGTCGAGATAAACTCAACCTCGAGACAGAAATGAAGTTTTCCGTCGAGGTTTGTATACTTTTTTATTTTCAACCCTTAATTTTCTGATGCAAAAACTAAAGATTCTGTTATACGAAATTTTCATATAGTGTAAAACTGGCCTTAGAAAAAAATATTTCACTTTTTTTGTCAATGTCATCAATTTTGACGATCTCAAAGGCCCTGTAAAGGCCAAAACAAAAGACGAAACCACAGGAAACCGCAAAATCAACAACCATAGATAAGATCAACAACGCCTTAACGACGGTAGTTTTCGCTCAGTATTTTTGCGGAAATAATAGATTTTCACTAGATTTCTCCCCGTTCTCCCCAAAGAAATGATTTCGGAAAGTGAAGATGAAGCGATGGATTGTACCCCACCTGAATTAAAAGAAGCAGCAGACAGGATTGGAGAGAGTTTGCTTCCAGCAAAAAGCAAATTTCGGTACGAAAAGGCTTTTCAAATATTCGAAGCATGGTGTAGCCAGAAAGGAACGAGAAATACTGCCTCGGAGACCGTTTTGTTGGCGTATTTTGGCGAATTATCTAAGGAAAAGAAGCCTTCGACTTTATGGTCGACTTACAGTATGTTGAAAACCATGATTAAATTGAAAGAGAAAGTTGATATCTCCAATTACGCAAAACTTATAGCTTTTTTGAAGCGGCAAAATCTGGGCTTTCAGCCGAAAAAGTCGAGCGTTTTTTCCAGAGAAAACATTAACGAGTTCCTCACGAAGGCAGCTGAAGAATTCCTTAGCATCAAGGTAGGTTTTCAAAAAATATACAAAGAAGATAAAAATGCGAAAATCAAAATGATTTTCTGTATGCTATAGCTAGGTTACCCATTTTATTTTTATCTGGTTTCAGGTAGCGCTAATTGTTGGTGTGTCGGGTGCATGTAGGAGCGATGAACTAGTCAAGATGAAAATGGAGCACGTCAACGTTTTGGAAGGAAAGATCGCTATAGAAATTCCACACACAAAAACTTACACAAGTCGATCGTTTATCATAAGCCATCCAGATTGGGTTGCTATTTTCCACAAATACCTCACTTTGCGGAAAAATTTGAAAAATGACAGGTTATTTGTTCAATGGCGAAATGGGAAATTACATAACCAAGCAATTGGCTATCATTCAATCTCAAAATTTCCACATAAAATAGCTGCTTTTTTGAAGCTTCCAAAAATTGAAACTTTTACAGGGCATGCTTTTCGTCGTACTTCCGCAACCTTATTGGTTGACAACGGGGCCGATCTATTGCAACTCAAAAGACTGGGAGGGTGGAAATCGAGCACGGTTGCTGAAGGCTACATAGAGGCATCTTTGGAGAACACAAGTAAGACTGCTCTGATGCTATCCTCTACTTCCAAAGGTATTCAGTTGTCCAGTGCATCCACAAGTACATCACATGCGGAAACTCATCCGCAAGCGCAAGAGATAATAGTTCCAAACGAAACACAATTCCAACAGGATGGTCTCAAGATTTCCATTATAAACAACAATGCTAATTTAACAATTAATGTAAATAAGTGAATAGATTTAATTAGTTCCATGTAATACATGTGGTTTTATTATTATATGTGAGAGCTGTATGAAAACTATCAATTTGGAACGAGCAGGGAAATGGGGACGGAAAAGCATTTGCCGTCCCGGACGGAAAATGCTTTTCCGTCCTAGGCAGGCATATGCATTACCGTCCCGATAAATGTCAAAGTCCAGAAATGTGACACTTTCAAGATTTTGAAAAACCTGCAATGTCAACATTACATATGTGGTTGAAAATAAAAAAAATTACAAAAGCAGTCCTTTACAATATTCTTCTTCCATTGCGACAATTTTCTCAAAAAGGCAAACTTTAACACATTTGAATAACACAAAAATACCACTGCGTCAGCAGGAGTTCGTTTGCTGCGTATTTGTTGTTTACAAAACCTTAACGTCACAAGCGCTGTCATTGAGTTTCGTGTTTTCGCGCCAAAGTTTTTGATTTGAATTTCAATAAAAAAAATTTCGTAGAACCTATAAATTAAAATGGAAAAAAAGGAAACTATGTAATAACTGATCACTAGAAGTATGTAAAAAAAAATAGTTTGGGAAATATGAAAATTTCCTATTGGATTTTAAAAATTGCTCATATATATGAACTTCTTACTCAACTTGTGTAATTAGTACGTTACAAAGCTCTGAACAATTAAGCAGTGAACAGCAAAAGCAAGTTTCAAATATTGCTGATTCATTTAAATCTATTGGTCCTAAAGACAAATTGGGTTTAACTCATTTAAGGACTCATACAATAGACAATGGTTCAGCAAAACCCATAAAGCAAAGACGATACCCTTCATCATAACAGTTCTTCATGAGGGGATTGATAGTATGATGAAATTGGGTATAATTGAACCTTCCAATTCTCCATAGTGTTCGCCGGTTTGGCTCGTTAAAAAGTCTGCGTGGCGCCAATTTGTTACAAATCACTTCACTTATTTGTAATTTAGAACAAGAGAACCTAAAGGGTTGTGGAGTTCAAAAATAAATAAACCGTGCAAATGAAACCACCCAAATTCCAACAAACAATAATTTTATTTAGTATTTGTAAATGCAGTAACAATGCAAGTAACAAGTTACTTTTTCAAAATTTGAAAGTTAACAGTTTGATTGTTCTGGTGACACCGATACGGTTTGTACTTTTATTTGCAATCATATATGTAATCTTGTCATTACTGACTTTTTAAAAATTTGGAAGTGACACTTTACCTGTGTCACTTCCCTCTTCGATTTCCCTCACCGATTTCCCTCACTCTTATTTATTTACCTTTGCTGGCAACAATGAAAACATGTCAGGTAAAAACGTCAAAGCAGCGAATGACACATTTTGGCATGTTTGTTTTATTTTTTTAATTTAAAAAAAATTGATTGACTAATAAGTATACAGCAAGATCAAAGATAAAAAATCGATGCCCGTTATAATTGAGGAAAATGCTGCTTCT